TTGTTGATGAAAGTAAGTCTCAGTTTTTGTTGTTGATGATAATGTTGTTGAATGAAATTTGAGGAGATATGCAAATGCAATAAATTGAAATACATATTACAAGAAAAGCAAATACAATTTCAAGTCTTTTTCCCACACAGTTTCAAAGATAACATTACACAGATAATAAAAAAACAAACATTTCCAGTTTTCCACTTAGAATTGGACATATTTAAACACGCAACACACACAAAGCAAAAGAAAAAAAAAAGATTATATTAAATTGAAACCCAATAGCAACAGCAACTAGTGCATATGTGATTTCCTCCAACTTTCTTGTGGTTACTGAGCCGAATCCCAATTGCTGCCAATGGGGGAGAAAAGAATAGATGAGAAAGAGAGAGAGAGAGAGATTTATTAAGAATGGAAAACTCATGCTGATTTGAATCAGAAATGGAAAATTGAAGATTAAAAGGCTTACATTTGCGGTGTGCCCTACCACCATTTCTGCTGAAATTTACAAAAGGGGAAAAGGATGTCTTTTGCATTGGGATGGTCCCATTCCAATGATTCCCACCATTCTTTTGGGAGTACCACAATTTCTTCAAGGGAAGGAGGATGAGATGATTGGGCATTATCAAGTAAGGGAAAATTCATAGGAATCCTCTTTAGCTTCTCACAATTGGAAATCCTCAGATTCTGGATGGAATCACAAATTAACACACTAGAGCTGTTGCAGATGCTCTTCAATAAGGGCAATCTTGTCAATTTCAAGCCTTGTAACTTGGGTAGAGTGATGTTTTCTTCTTCATGTGCCGATGACAATATCAGCTACTCCATTTGCAAGCAACTTGAAACCTCAATAGTTTCTAGAGATTGGAAATAGCAAAGCAGTCATCCAGATGAGAATACCTTCTTTAATCGATGACAATTATCCACCCTAATTTGTTTAAGAGAGAAAGAGCTTGTGGGAGGTACAAGTGGCGATAAACCAAGACCTTCTTCATCAAACACGGATTTTAGATTCTCTAAATAGTCAAGGTATAGATATTTAAGATTTGGAAGTGGGTTGAACCTTGACCAAAAAACACTTTCTATATTTTTGCAATCATGAATTTCAATGTTCTTGATGGAATCACAAATCAAAAAACCGCTATAGATGGTCTTCAATTGGGGCGATGCGGTCTATTATCTCCTCCAGTTCCTTACAATTAGTAACCTCAATAGTCTATAGTTTCTGGAGATATTCTAACCACCTTACCGAGAATAACTTCTTTATTTTATAACATGCCCTAACATTAATATATTGAAGAGAGGAAAATGTGCCAGCTGGTAGCTGTGCTGACTCAGCAACTGCTCCTACTTCCCCAAACACCATATTCAAGTTATCCAAACAACAAAGATCCAGCTTCTCAAGGTTTTGAAGCTTCCCCCAAATTCCAATCGTCTCCCATTTAAATTCTATTGTGGGATCGGGATCGGCATTTACTAGTAAATGCTAAAGTTTGGATAGATTTTGTAGCGATTCATCAAGTGTTTCAGATAATGCTCCACCAAGACCAAGATAATTTAGATTTGTTAACATGTTGAGGCCTTGGGGTAGTTCTTCAATTGATGTGTTGGAAAGGTCCAACTTTTTTAAGGCTACAAGGTTGGATAAAGACGGTACCTCTCTTAAAGACTTACAATTCAATAGCAATAATGTAGTAAGCTTCTCCAATTTGGAAACAGAACTCGGCAACCTTGTTAGCTCCCAATTGTTGGAAAGATCAAGGATCTTGAGCCCAAGCATATGCTCAAAAAAAGCTTCTGGAATTGTTGAAATCTGGTTATTGGACAACAGCAAGGTTGTAAGCATAGGGCACTTTGGAGACAACATGCTTGAAGGAATTTCTGTTATGTGATTCTCCATTAAAGAAAGCTTCAAAGGATTTTCTCTCCATTCACCCTCTTCTGGTAGCTTTTCCAAGGCAATGCCAGCTTTCACCAAAAATTGAGGACTAATTTCTAATGCCATTTCTTAGAAAAGATCATGCATACTCACACAATATTCCTTGCCTCCAACCAACTCCAACAAGTAGTTGTCAACTAGCTTATCAAGTATATCATGACCCTTCCAATTCATTGCCTCCCTAGTTTTCCCTTCTTTATATATAAGCCCCTCCTCAATCCAATACTCAATTAACTCCTTCTTTTGGATTTCATAATCTTCAGGATACAATGCGCAATATAGGAAACACTCCTGACATTGTGGTTCTAGGCATTCATAACTGAATTTCAAACAATCAACGATGCTTTGAAATTTACTAAATTCAGAAAGTGCCAACTTCCAATGACGAGGAAGTAATTTCCCCTTCATTGATTTTGCCATTGTCACAATAGCAAGGGGTACCCCATCACATTTTTGCAAAATTTGCTTAAAAAATGGCTCATATCTCTTTTAATTTTGCCATCTGAAAACACATCACTTCCAATTTTCTCCAAGAATAATGCTAATGCTTCGTCAGGTGGAAGAGGGTTCACATGGATCACATTACAATCCATTGCACGAGCAACATCTTTTGACCGTGTTGTGAGCACTAATTTGCAACCATTATTTCCAACTGGATTAGAAATTCCAACATCTTCTAGAGAAAAAGGCTCCCACACATCATCCAAAATTAGCAGGAAGCTACCCTGCCCCAACCTTTGTGAAATCAATGCAGCAAGCTTGGTTTCATTCTCATGATCTGGCTCTTGTACTAATTTCAAGCTACTTGCAATCTTTTGCTGAAACTTGAGAATATCAAACTTCTTTTTTTGCTAGACAGTAATGTTAAAGTCTTTTGACACTGTTACCCAAATAACATTCTTAAATTTGGATTCATTCAACAGTTGGTTGTGGACATTCTTCATAATTGTTGTCTTGCCCACACCACCCATTCCCGAAACTGCAATTCTTGTAACCTTGTCTCCCTTTAACCATTCCAGAATTTTTTCCTGTATATCATCCCTACCACTACATTTTTCAACGGGAAGTGGAAATCCTTTGATTGAGTGATCATCTATGACCAAAATCACACCAGCATTAGTGAATTCTTTTCCTTGCTCAAGTATTTGCTTCAATTCTTCAATTTTTTTCCAGAGGTTGGATGGAGAGGAACATTCCCCTTGGCTGATGAGATCTTCAACCTTTATGTCAATCTGTTGGCTTGCTTTCTCCATCCAGTTTTTAACTTCATTGCTTGCCATCTTTCCGGGCTGCAGAAGCGAAGTCTCCAATTTTGCCTCAATGTCTTTCTGTCGGAGCTTCAGTTGCTCTTGCATTTCTTTAAATACAATTGCACCACGCTCAATTGAGTCAACATTTGTGACCAAACTCTCACCAGCATTAGTATATTTTTCTCCTTGCTCAAATATTTGCTTCAATTCTTCAATTTTTCTCCTGAGGTTGGATAGAGAGGAGCATCCCCCTCGGTTGATTAGATCTTCAACCTTTAAGGGAATTTGTTGGCCTACTTTCTTCAACCAGTCTTTAACTTCCATGCTTGCAATCTTTCCACACTGCATAAGTTAAGTCTCCAATTTTGCTTCAATGTCTTTCTGTCGGAGCTTCAGCTGCTCTTGCCTTTCTTCAAATACAGTTGCCCAATACTCAATTGAGGGAGTATCTACGACCAAACTCTCACCAGCATTAGTGTACTTTTCTCCTTGCTTAAATATTCCTTCAGTCAATGATTGAGTCCTTTTATCGAGCTTTCTTGAGGAGCAAATATATGTGAAACAGCCCCCTTTGCAGATTAGATCTTCAACCACTTTTTCATCAGTTTCTTGGTCTGCTTCCTTTAGCCAAGCTTCAACTTCCTGCATTGCAATCTTCCCAGGCTGCATAAGCTGAGTACGTAGTCCTTCAGCAACATCTTTTCGTTGGCGCTCCAGCTTGGTTTGCATTTCTTTAAATTCATTGACATAATCATTGTGACATATCTGATACTTGACATATTTCTTAACTATAGGTACAACATCCTTCACAATATCCACGACTGGTTCTATGACGTCCATTAAAGAGTTCTTGCATATATGAAATGGTTGGATATAAGGTAATAAGTGTGCCTTAAAACTTGAACGAAACAAGGATAAGAATAAAAGTATTTAGGAGAAATTAATAGTGGAAGTATCATAGATGACTAATTTAAGTATTTGGTTTTTATAAATTTAGTAATTATTGAAAATTAAAATTAAAAATTAAAAATTTGTTTAAAACAAGTTTTAACATTGATGATAAAAAGTATAAACTTGTTTAATAGTATTAAAATTATTTTAATTCTTTTTTCTATA